CGAAAACGGCTGCGACGGCCACAATTACATGAAAAGTTATCATGATAATAGACTCAGTCTTCGTCAAACCGCAGCCTTCAAGACAAAGTTTAGAGGTAGCGTTCATCTCTGTTTCGTTGTAGCAACATTTCGCTCTACTTACAGGGCATGTTCTGCCAGGTCTGCTAAATTTAGAATTGCAATTAGCAATGTCTCCCTTTAAGTTTCTAATTCGCTCACAATTGCTTTTATCTGAATTTAAACTGGCCTGCGCGCAGCTGTGCTTCGCTGAATATTGAATATTATAATGTTCTTAAATGAGGATAACTACAAATTACCATGCCCAAAATTAATTTAGTAATAGGTTTGTAAGTTATGCAAGGCAATATTTTATGGTTAACAAAACACCCAATGACGCAAGTCCTCTTTGCAGTATTAAATGAAACGAATAAATTATTTAGTAGTGACTAAATTGAGTTGGTTCCTCAACTTCTATTAAAACTTCCAAACCTTCCCCTATTGAAATAATTTATAGCTCTGTTAAGGGACAAGGGTGAAAACTGGCCAATTATGAGATTTCGTTAGGAGTCAAAAAAAATACAGGAAAATTTGACACATCGAAAAGGTTGGCGCGACTTCGAAAACAGCTCAAAATTAATTATTCGAAAGCCATATTCGAAAGCCACAATTTTCAAGACTTTCTGTCATCCACGTATGATGTTACGTGCGGTAATTAATTCTCGCGGATTGATCCGGCGCAAAAACTGCTCCCGCAAAAGAACACTACCGCAAAAATTAGTTCCATGGTCGAAATTATACATAGCCCATTCAAGCCTGAAGTTTTGACGCAAAATAGATGTTGACTACCATACAAAAAGCGACACTGTGCACACCCAATTACAATACTTTAAACGACAATGCCATTTTAGTTATTTTATTTTCGGATGTTGTTTTTACCGTTTTTGACTCAGATAAACGTATAAGAATTGAATGCGATTTCTAAGAATAGCAAAAATTATTTCAGAACAAGAAAAACCAAACTTAACAGATCGGAAAAATTATTTCCCTCATAATACGAATAACGGCCATTTGCAAAAACAAAGTGTCACAAGGAAAACATGCAATTAACAAACGAGAAGGGTTCTGTTTGTTCAGTATATTGCAATAAGACAACGTTTTTAGTCATGAAAAGCAGTTATTTTAGTAAAGATAACAGGTGGATACACAACTTATATTCAAGTAATTCAGCTTTGTCTTCGAAAGAGACAATACTTTCTTGATATCGAGCAGCCATCCGGCAGCGAACTGATAAATCCCGCCGGGGGAGCACTCAACAAAGTTTTATACGGGGAGGCTCCGCTCCGAAGTCAAAAGATTTAACTTTTCATATACTACGTATACCGTTTTTGACAGAAAAGGAATCCCTTTTGTATACCCTTTTATTGACAAATAGTACCGGCCCCTTTCACATACCTAAATTAGGATGCTGCATCGTTTTGAACTGCCATCTCCAGTGTAAATTCACTGTATCTTAATTGTGAAAAATTACCAAACCAGCAGGTTTTTCTCAACTTCTTCGATTCACAGCCATAGCTTTTTGGGTCCGTTTACCAATGCAAAAAAACAGATTTCCGGCCCTATTCGTTCGTATACTTAAACTAGCCAGGTGAAATCCCTAGCCTTTTATATACCAGCAGCTGAAGCTTTGACAAAGAACCCCGTTCGGGCGGATCTCCCCTTTAAGGCCACTACGCAAACTCGTATCCGCCGTGATACAAGAGGGAGGAAGGATTTTAAAATGATCCCGATTGGGTTTTCCTCCGTTACAGCGCTTTATTTGACTTGACATGAAATAGATAATTGGCCATGAGCTACTGGTGAACCTGTGACGTGACCCAAAACGGCAGACAACATGGGCGGCCATGACCTCTTCGAATTCACATTTATTGAAATATTTCTTTGTGTTTGACTTTAAAAAAATCATGATTTCATATTCCATTCTTCTAACTGAATACTTACCAAAGAGTCCCTTCTTTCAAACCTTTCACTCCTAAGGGAGGAGGAAATCCGAAATAACAGAGACGAAGATGATCGAGAGAAAATTGAAATTTTCATTATATAGGAGACTAATATGTGTGCGACTGGGTCGTTATTTGACTCAACAAAGTATGAGGACATTTGATTGTTTCACATAGTTATTTCTTTACTCACAATCCACAATAATTAAGCTCTATGGGTAAACATATCACATTGGTTTCCGTCATGATCAATCATAAGTGAGGCGACGAATACTCCATCCATTTTCATATGAGAGTCCCCCCTTTCCCGGGCTCCCAATATCTTTTTCAACTTTTGGGAGTTTAAGGATGACTGCATGGGGGCCCTGGAATCGCCGTTGGCCTTTCCCAGCCACATCAACAATTCTTTGATCTTAAGTCTCAGTTCTTAATTTAAAATCCCTCTCACTTCTCGGCCGACAGTAAAAAATTTCGACAAATTCAAAATGTGTCAGTGTATGTCCTCCGCTGGGCTTTTTTTAAGGATCTTTTGCCGTAGATCTGATCATAGGACATAGTCTCTTTTTTTCCCCAAACTGTGACCAGCTTACATTCGTGCCACTATGTTATTATTATACATGAAATGAATACGCATTTGACACCATACAGTTCCTGCGCAGGGCTCTTTTTTGAGTCCAGTAATTTGGCAGATAGGAACCTCGAGCTGTTTTCAGTGGCTTACCGAAGGGAGTTTGGTATCGTTTGAACCCCTTATGAGTTTCTGCCGGTTCTTGATGCTTAGCCAATTCGCATTAAACAAAACATTTTTAAAAACCTAAAAACATTTGCGCACTAAGCAACATTTCAGCATCTTACGAAAAGCGTTTCTAAAGTCTTCATTTTTCCATCCGTAGATAAGAGGGATGCATATGGCATTCACAAACATGGCCACGTCGTAAAGGATTTGCTTCAGTAGCTTTTGATGGTAGCGGCCTCCGAGTGATATGCCACAGAAGACTCGGAGGAAAGTCACAGCCAGCATAGGGATGATACTGAGCAGACACAGCGCTACAACAATGGCGAGAGTGCGGGCACCTTTCATTTGATGCTTGATAGTGGGCATTCCTGGAACGTCGCGGCCCTGTTCTCTGACATGTTGTCTCTGCTTGTAGGACACCATAAAGATGTAGGTGTACGAGTATAAAATGATCAACAGGGGGACAAGAAACATTGACGCAGCTTGGAATATAAGATGCCATCTGGTGTGGAGTACTTGGGAGGTATTACTGTCTGTATTTCTGAAATCTTTCCCCATTAGCTTAAGCACCTCTGGCAGAGCTATCGTAACGACCAGAGCCCACAGCCACAATGCGATGGAAAAGACTGCGATCGGCGTTTGGTCACTATGGTGTGGTATGTTAAGGCGAACTTGATGGCGATGAAACGCTCCACACTCGTTAAAGCGAGATGAAGAATGATGACCGAAACGAGAAAGAAGGTGAAAGT